ACAAAAGTGCCACAAATACTGCCTAAACAAAATACTGATTTTGTGCACTTTATTTACTGTACCAATATTTTAAATTGGCCTTTGAACTTAGCTTTATTGCATGGCAAAAAAAAGTGTTACCTTGCCAAAGCACTGACAGAGCCCACTGATCTAATGGCGTTGCTGAGCGCTCCGAATGCAAACTTTGCATGCAACAATCACACAGCAATTGACAGCACTCTGATCTAGTGGCATACAGGCATCGACAGATTGACACTGCTCTAGCCCAATAATGTTGGGGGATCCAGTGGGGGCAGTCATATTTCAGGGTGACCGTGCCACTCTTTATCACAACCCTGCTAAAAGTGCCAGTACGTGCGCTCATTGGCGCCCCTTCAGCTGGTGGCGCCCTAGGCGACCGCCTAGCTCGCCTATGCCTAGAAACGGCCCTGCGTGCACGTGCCTACAAGATCTGCCCCTTCTTAGTCACACGCACAAGAAACAACACATTTTCAGGAATGTGTGTTGTTTATTGTTATTGGGTATAATAAAAATAAAATGGAGTACGATATGAAACGAGGCATCCAGTCAGTTTATGCAGTTTGAGCAATTGAAGCACTAAGAGCTGTTCAAACAGTCATCTTAAAGGAATAATTCACCCTAAAAAAATAAGATCCTGTTGTCATTTACCCTCATGTCGTTCCAAATCCGTATTCTTCCGACTTCTTTTGTCTTCGCAAAAGAAAGAATGCTCAAGTCACTCTTTTATTGATACACAGGCACTAATTAGGAGATGCTTCAAATACGATGCAAACTCACCATAAAAGTACCATAAAGGTAGTCCGCATGGATTATGGGGTAGGGCAGGCTAAGTGTCAAGTCTTCTGAAGTCATACATTAGCGAATAATTGCCTTACAAACCTCCACTTTAGTGAGATGTTATCGGCTGCAACTGAATTAGTGAGTTGAACTTGGGAACCGGATCAGTTCACATGAACTAACCATTCCGGTAGGTAAACTGAATCAACAGATTCAATTAAAAGGTCCACTTCCGGCAAATGGTTCGTGAGAGTTACGATTTAAACAACGACATAATCGCTTTGGCTTCATAAGTCGTTTGGACTACATTTAATGGTACGTTTGTTTTTATTTGTCTTCCTTTTTGAGGCTTGACATCTTCAATTACCACACATTGTAAATACATGGCAAATTTAATTGATACATTCACATAGGCTATATGACATAACGTGTACATTATTATTATTATTATTATGATTGCATTTTGTGTTTTATTTAATAATAATAATAATAATTTATAAATGTTGCATATTTAGGTACATCAGAAATGCGAAGTGGTAATCCAGCCCAGGCAGATGTATTTGTGCTTAAACAGAAAAATGCTTTTACAGCTTGAATAGGTATTCATTTTAATGCAATTCGCTAGATATAAAAAAATAAAAGACTTTCAACCGTAATACGCACGACGTCGTTATGCCCAATTAGCGCTCTCTTTCTCTCTCCCCCTCACTCTCTCTCTCCCTAGACGCAGCAGCGGCTTGGCTTGGATTCAGTACCTCCCCTATGTGCTGCCTTACTCCATCATCACATCCCTGAACGTGAGCGGTGTAGCTGAGGAGCACTTCTTTAAAACCCGACACTTCGCTGAAGTTGCTTCCCCTGCGCGTCTGAGAGTCGGAGGGAGGGGAGAAGCATTCCCCAAAATCTCTTCTAACGATGGAGACTCGTTTGGTTGTATTCCATGGCGCTCACTTTACGCTTTCTACCTGGCTAATTCTTTATGTGCTGCCTTACTCCATCATCACATCCCTGAACGTGAGCGGTGTAGCTGAGGAGCACTTCTTTAAAACCCGACACTTCGCTGAAGTTGCTTCCCCTGCGCGTCTGAGAGTCGGAGGGAGGGGAGAAGCATTCCCCAACATCTCTTCTAACGATGGAGACTCGTTTGGTTGTATTCCATGGCGCTCACTTTACTGAGCTTTTCAACCCAACCTGCCCTGAAATGATGGCCTTAAACAGCCCTGTTGTAAATACCACCTTAAACCATTCTAAGCTAGCAATCAGTCTGGTTTTACAGGGGTTTTGGCACTTTTCAGCTTGGGAAGAATCTCTTAAACCAGCTTAGACCTCTTTCTACCTGGCTAATTCTTTCCTCCTTGTATGTTTTTCCAAATGTAAAGGCAGAAATAAGTTGCGCGCCATGTATGTCGCCAATGCAAGTGAATTACGCAGGGGATGAGCGTCTGCGTGACCCGCCTGATTCTGGGAAATATCTGAGACAGGATCAAAAGAAACCCAAGCTGATCACAGTTCTTTACCCGAATGTTGGAGTACCCACTGGACTAGAGGTGGATGGTTTTCCAGGGATCGCGCCGAAATTGGAAAGAAACGCAGAGGGGATAACCTCCCGTGCGCCTTTGGGGAACTTCACCGAGTCCGCTTTAGATGAAGAATTGTTTTCGGATGAATATGTGAAAAGTGAATCTGTATTGGAATCCGAGGACGCCGCGTTAGGGAGAGCCAAAAGAAGCGTGCCCGAGTTTCTGGAGAGCGCGCGGAGCGCTGATGCTCGCTCGGAGGAGCAGAGAAAAACCTCCGGTCTGCGGGTGGATGGACAGAGTAAACGCGCCGAAGTTCGCTGGAACAAGGATGATGAGCATGATGGCAGAGTATCGGATTCCAGACCAGACGAACCCAAACTGACCAGCAGCACTTTTGCTCTGGCTGGAGACTCCGCACACAACCACGCAGTCGTGTACTGGACTGGAAAAAACAGCAGTGTAAGTCCGCAACATCCTGTACTTATTTGCAGTAATATAATATGTTTAGCTTTCAGGTTCCTTGTCAATTTCAGTTGTTGTCACTGTGAAGGCATGCACATCTTGTTTTGAGTCCATAGGGTTTATAATGAGCATTTCAACCCAACCTGCCCTGAAATGATGGCCTTAAACAGCCCTGTTGTAAATACCACCTTAAACCATTCTAAGCTAGCAATCAGTCTGGTTTTACAGGGGTTTTGGCACTTTTCAGCTTGGGAAGAATCTCTTAAACCAGCTTAGACCAGCAAACCAGCTTAGTCTTTTGAGCAGAGATGATCTAAATGTTTACAGAAAACACCTGCTCAGAGTGATAGCCACCTGTTTGTCAAAGAGATCTAGCAATGAGCTGGAATGTAATTCATAATGTTACTATGATTACATTCAGTTCAAATAACCATTCACCGTTGGGAGTTTATATCTAAATTGCCTTAGTTAAATCGACTAGGGGCAAAGTCTGGAAATATGCTTTGAATGCAATATCTTTCTGCACTGTCTGTATATTTTTCCGATGAAATGATTTGCTTGTAGAGCAGGTTGTTGGCTAGAGCCTCCTGGCTCTGCAGTGCTGTCTGTGTTTTTGGACTGGAGATTTTTTTGGACTGACAAGATAGGAGACTTTATAATAATTAACATCTCAATAATTCAGGGATCCATCTAGTCGATTTTGTAGACAGGCACACAGGCCAAAAAACAAAAATAATATATATATATATATACACACACACACACACACACACATACACATATATACATATATACATACAACCTTGTTTTTAAATGCTAAAGTTAAACAGAACGGAGGACTTGGATTTAATCAAGTCTGCAGTGTATTGCCTGGATGTTTGGATTTTGTTACAGACAGGTGGTGTTTGATGAGATATATGTGTGTGAGATATGAGTGAGAGAGAGGACAAATAAAGGCAGATTTTCTGTGTGATTTTCAAACAGTTTTTCATATTTAAGCTGTTTTGTGTTGCTGTGCATGTCTGTGCTTATTATATTATATTATATTACATTTCAAATCTTTTACTCAGAGTGCTGTTAAAATGCAAGGCATGATGTGTAAGCAACCTAAGGTGTAACCTGGTATTAAAACAGCACCATAGTAACAGGTAATCTGTTGTTCAATAGCAGGTTGAATATTTTATTCATGAACAATGAACAGTATGATGACTAAATGAAGGCAGATTTTTCAATATGACTTTTGGGTTGGGTGTTGCAATTAACATACAAGGTGTTAAAGGAGACGGCCAAGAAGGAATCAGCAGGAGGAGGCAGCAAAATGATTTTTATGGAGTCTTGAGGAAGGTTTTCTTGACTTAATTTAAATGTGGATATGGATATAAATTTAAATAAGAAGTATTATTAGAACTTAAAAAAAAAACAAAAAAACAATTTTTTTAAAAATGCATAATAATTTCATACAGGATAGTGTTTTCAGTAACAGATGTATGAAGTCTGCAGCCACTGATCAGGAATCAGATTTCGTAACTCACTTAGTTAATGTTTCTGTTTGGCTTTGGAAAACTGATCCTAGACCAGTGGTTTTGGCAGATTTTGTCCCAGAGCAGTAATTGGAAGCAAGAGGCAGTGGGAGAGATATTTGAGAGAGAGAGAGAGAGTTGAGAGATATTTCTACTACAGATTCTGTGTGTATTTTCGTTTAAGCCGGGCCTCTATATATGTGAAATAATTTCTCCAGCAGTGCGAGGTGAAGTTATATGAATTAAACTCATCCTTATCAAATGAACCACCTCATCCATTATTGTCTTTCTTTGTGCCTGTTTGCACAAAAACTACAATAAATCAAAACAGATAGTCCAGCGTTTTCGGGCCCTGTCTAGACATATTACATCTATCTTTATTAACTTGTTTAGTAGCTGTCAGTGAAACAGCCACAGCAATTTTAGGCAAGGGTTACAGCCTGCCAGGTCCCGTCCCTCATCCCTGCAGCTGTAAATCTCCTATAATTATCTTCCGGACTGAGGCAGCCATTTTGAAAGATTTTGTCCTGTTCAGGGACTGCCTACTCAAGTGTGTTTCCCTGCTTGCATGCCTGCTGGAGAGCTTTGTCTTCATTGGCTGGAGGTTTTATGAGAGATGAATGAAGATTGCAAGGACAGAGTGTGTGATTTTTTTTTTTTCCCCAGCAATGTTTCCTAACAATAATGTTATGTATGCAAAACTTTTTGTGCAATATTTGCAGCTGTCTGTTCTCAATAAGTGCTGTCATGTAAGATATACTTTACCATGTTACTCAGGAGGCACTGCGGTACATTTCCAGAAAAAAAAAAAACAGTTTGGACATGCATGAGTGAATATGCTTGGCATTAACAAACTTTTGATCTATAGGTTAATGCTTAGAAAATAAATAAATAAATAAATAAATAAATAAATAAATAAATAAATAAATAAATAAATAAATATTGTATCATTTTTAAAAGATGTATTAATTTATTATTTGTATGATTATTATTTGTAAATATTTGTTATATTAATTTATTTCTTCTTAGTATTTATTTATTCATTTATTTTTAGTTGATACATTGGACTGTCCCCAGCATACATGTGCATTCCTTCAATTATGTTTCAGAAGTATCCCTAGATGCACTTCATGAAGTCGGCTGAGAGAATCCAGAAGCTAAAATATAAAATTTAACAACTTTTGGTCACACTATTATTATGGCTACTATGGCTTTAAGTTCTAAAATTTTGTGAAGTAATAATAAAGAATACTGTAAGTTTGTCCAAACTTTTCATAATGTATGTTTCTCACCATTTTAAGAGATATTTTAGCTTCAAAAGAAGTACTGACTATAGGTGGAGAAAATGATCCACTCCACTGAAGCTTATCACTGGTGTTTTGAGGTTTAAGCTCAATGTCATTTATTTATTTTATGATTCACGTATCCCATCATGCTTTTGATGTCATGCATTCAAAAGGAAAATAAAGCATCCAATTTGCATACGATTCAAGTTGTAAGCCTGGCACGCTTCAGTGGCTTCTGATGTAGTCCTGCTTCACTGAGATTGGGTCATTCTTATAGACCCTGTTGTCATATGCTCCAAGGATCTCTTTGAAACACCTCACTGAAAGTCTAAGTATAAAATACAAGCAGTAAATGAGCTCTGTCAAATAGCGTATCCCTGAAGTGGTGTGCTGCTTCATTTGCGCTTTCATGCGATTCACTAAAAATGGTGGTCAATTGCATGACTTTTTTGGCATTGGTTTGCTGGTTTAAAACAGGACGTTTCAAACGGTAATCCAGGTTAGTGCTTAGCTATATTCCGCATTTATCACCATATCTAGTTGGAATTTATTTAGGACCATCTGGTTGTTTTTACATCCGAATGGCTTCATCAGTTTGAAGGACAGTGGAGGTTCTCTGATGTGTAACCTCAGGGAATTGCTTCTCTCCTGGTGTGAATCTCGATTGCTGTGTGAATTGGGAAAACAGCATTGTGAGTTGTTGATGACTGTTCTAGTTTCACATCTAAGGCCTCCTTCACTCCTCTGTCAAACCATCTGTTCCCGTATACAGTCTTTATATAACTGAACATGTGCTCCAGAAGTCCGGCCTGGAGGTATTTGCCCTCCTGTGTTGAACGATGTTGGCTTATAAAGGAGTTATTTTCATTTTCGAGGCACATCCTTCAGGTTTCTGTCTCAGTTTGTTGGGAGGCTTCAAATGTACTAGGGTGGTGTTTGCTAGCTGGGGTGTCCACAAAGGACAAAAAAAAGATAACTTAATTTAAAAAATAAATCCTGGAAAAAAAGTATAACAATTTCCACAAAAATATGAAGCTTTCATCACTGATAATAATAAATGTTTCTTGAGCATCAAATCAGAATATTAGAATGATTTCTGAAGGATCATGTGAGACTGAAGACTGGAGTAATGATGCCGAAAATTCTGCTTTGCCATTACAGGAATTAAATATATTTTAAAACATATTAAAACAATACAATTCTTTTAAATGATAATAATATTACAGTTTTTACTGTATTTGATCAAATAAATGCAGCCTTGGAGAGTATAAGAAATTTCTTTCAAAAACAATAAAAAAACAACAACTTTTGAACAGTAGTGTATATTGGATTGTATTAATCCACTCAAAATAGGCATTTTCAAAATTATATAATAAATTATCTGTAGAGTATTTTGAGCTGAAACTTCACAGACGTGTTCTGGGGACACCAGAGACTTATATTACATATTGTAAAAAGGGGCATAATATGTCACCTTTAAATATATTCAAAGCTGTTAATTTATGAAGAAATCCACAATTATGAAATGCATGAATATGCCCAAGAACTTAGTGTCACTATCTTTTGTTATCTGAACTGCAAAAATTTAATTTCCTTTTATTTACCTCACCATTTGTATGGCATTTATCTCTCTAATATTCAGCACTTCAAGTTTTGTGTGCCACATACCACGTCAACATATCAGACACATCCTAATTCATCACAAAAAGCATCATCAGCTAGAATCTGAATCGCGGAGAGACGGTTTACAAGCCACCTAAATCTAGCCATTATCTCCATTGTTGGGGCGCAATGGAGGCATAGTGGAAGGGCTGGGCCCGCTAGAAACGAGAGCACTCCAGCATAATCACACGCTTGGCCGCTGAACCAGAGCAAGCAACAAGGGTGTCTTGGCATCTATCTGTCCCCCTATGTTAATTACACTGATATAACAGTGTCAGATGTGATTTGGTTTCATCTCTGTTGCGTTAAACACTTTGTTCCCCACCGGACTGCTCAGTAGTCTCTCTCTCTCTCTCTCTCTCTCTCTCTCTCTCTCTCAAACAGACTGGCAGTGTGACAGTCTACGCTCCAAGGTAGATTAAAAAACTGCTATGATATCAAATACACATCTCTTTGAAATTGCTTTAAAATGTGGTGCTATGAGACATATAGAAGGAAATGGTGCTCTGGAAGATGTGTTATAATGCAA